AGTTGTGATTTGATTTTGATTTGATTTAGTTTCCTTTCTTGTAATATGAGCATGTGCTCATTTTATCTATAAATACTAGAGCTGTGAATGAGTAATTCATCTCATTCAAGCAATTCTCTCTTTTCTCTTCTTTTTATATTTCTACTTAGTATCAGAGCCAACATCTTTCCACACCTTTCAATAGCCTTGCTACTTGTGCGATAGCTATCTTAGGCTGTTTGTGACATTGTGTGACGCTGCCTACACATGTTTTTCTGTGTTGCTGTTTTGTGATCGAAAACAGGTATTTTTAAGTTTTACAATTTCTTTTTCACTCTTCTAGGGTTGGGTAAATTGGGATAGTTGGTTTCCAACACCTAGAAGGGCTTGGGTAAAAAAAATTAGTTTACAAAGAAGTTCCGAATATTAAGAAGGAGGCTGTCTTGGCTATATGTAAGCCGGCAGCGCTCCTTAAAAAATGTATGTATTTGGATTTTTCGGGAATCGTCTGAGGAGACATTGTTTATGGTCTGAGGAGACCCTTTGATTTATTAACAGAATTTGTGGTGTTTTTGGAGTTCTTTTTATTGTCGTGTGACAGATTTTGGCAGATTCAGGGTCCTCGACTGTTAATTCTCTTGGCTCACGTTCTGTGGGTGGTGGTGCCATTTTTCCCACCAACTCATCAGAAAATCCAGGACTTCAAATCACCACAGTGAAGTTGGATGGTTCCAACTATTTGATTTGGGCACAGTCTGCCAAGATGTTCATTGGTGGCAAAGGCAAGATTGGCTATATTATTGGTTCTGAGAAAGAGCCAGCTGAGTCAGAGAAGGCATATCCACAGTGGTTTGCAGATAACGCTATGGTTATGTCTTGGCTAGTCAATTCGATGCAACCAAACATAGCTGTTGGCTATATGTTTATGAAGACTGCTAAGCAGATTTGGGATTCAGTTCAACGCACTTATTCTCAAAGGCAAAATAATGCACGAATTTTCCAGTTGGGGCGAATATCACCAGGATTTCTCAGGGTGACTTGACAGTTTCAGGTTACATCGCCAAGCTTCGTGCTATTTGGGAGGAGATGTCATATTATGATTCCTTCCACTCTTGGAAGGATCCAGATGATGCAGTTTTATATGCAGGAATTGTGGAGAAGAATCGAGTGTTTCAGTTTCTTGCCGGGTTGAACGACGAGTTTGAGTATGCTCGTGTTCATTTATTGGGCTTATCTTTATTCCCTACTCTTGAGGATGCATATTCCTATGTGTTGTCAGATGAGAGCCGCCGGACTCATCCATTAGGTGTTGCTTCTGTTGATCGTTCTGCTATGGCAGTTCGGATTCCCAACCTTTCAGGAACTTCACCATCCCAGTCAGTTCAGAGCACCATCCCAGTCAGTTCAGGTGTTGTCAAATACACTTCATGTTCCAAAGTTGACTACAAATCTTATTTCTGTTAGTAGTGTTACCAAACAATTAAATTGTAGTGTAACGTTCTTTCCCTCTCATTGTATTTTTCAGGATCTGGTGTCGAAAGGGACGATTGGCAGTGGGCGTGAAGTGGACGGTTTATACCTGTTGGATGCTCCTTTTTCACCTCAAGCACATTCAGCTTCATTTTCTAATATTGTTGGATCTAATAAAGCCCAGCTTATGCGTTAGCACATGTGTTTAGGACATATTTCTTTTGGTTATTTGAAACATTTATTTCCTTCCTTATTTTGTAACGTGGCAGTGTCAGATTTATTCTATGAAACATGTCATATGGCTAAACATGTTCGTTCCAATTATCCTGCTAGTAGTAATAAATATGCTTTAACACCTTTTGATCTTGTTCATTCAGATGTGTGGGGTCCTTGCCCAGTTACTTCTAGTCTTGGATTTCGATATTTCGTGTTGTTCATTGATAATCATAGTCGTGTTACTTGGGTTTATCTTATGAAAACCAAAAATGAGGTATACACCATTTTTAAAAATTTTATGACAATGGTTCAGACTCAATATGGTCGTACCATTAAAAAATTCCGATCTGACCAGGGTGCAGAGTACACTTATGGGGAGGTACAACGGTTATGTACAGAATTTGGGATTGCGCATCAGCTGGCTAATGTTTAAACTCCTCAACAGAATGGTCGTTCTGAGAGAAAGAATCGCCACATCCTTGACTTAGCCAGAGCAATCTGCATTGGCATGAATGTTCCCTAGTTATTTTGGGGAGATGCAGTTCTTACCGCTGTTTACTTCATTAATAGGACTCCTTTTAGGATTCTTAACTTTGCAGCCCCACTCTCAATCTTACATCCCAATTCATCTTTATTTTTGATTCCTCCATGAGTCTTTGGGTGTGTGTGCTTTGTTCAGCAGTTGGGGCAAACTTGTATAAAGCTTGACCCCAAGGCTTCGAAGTGTGTTTTTGGGCTATTCTCACTCTTAAAAAGGTTATAGGTGTTACCATCCTCCCAGTTGTCGGCGGTTTATATCCATGGATGTTTCTTTCTTTGAGTATACACCATACTATAGTGGTTCAATTGGTTCTCAGAGTGAATGGTTCCCATTGAATATAATGGATGATCACCTTCTTCCGTCTTCAACTCCTCTACCATTACCTGTTTCTTCTTCTATAATTCCTCCTCGTAATACCCCTCCAGCAGGGGGAATTGTTCATTTTTCACAAGTTTATAGTCGGAGACAACAGGTACAAGCTTCTACTCCCACGATCGACTGCCCTATTCCTTCGCCACTAGCTCCGCCTTCTCAAGCTATTGTTTCGCTTGATGATCATCCCATTGCTCTTCGAAAGGATAAACGTTCTTGTACTTACCCTATTTCTAATTTTGTTTCTGATTATGCTCTCTCACCCTCCTATCGGAGTTTTCTTGTTTTTGTTGCCTCGGTTCCTGTTCCTTCCAGTGTTGCAGATGCACTAGCACAACCTCAATGGCGTGATGCTATGACAGAAGAACTACAAGCACTTGAGAAAAATCAGACTTGGGACATAGTTCCGCTTCCTATTGGACGAAAGGCTGTAGGTTATCGTTGGGTGTTTACAGTCAAGCATAATCCAGATGGGTCAGTTGCTCGTTACAAGGCCCGATTGGTTGCCAAGGGTTATGCTCAGACTTATGGCATAGATTATCAAGAGACTTTTGCCCCTGTTGCCAAGATGAATCCCATCCGTGTATTATTTTCCGTTGCTGCAATTCGATCTTGGCCTCTATTTCAATTAGATGTCAAGAATGCCTTTCTTAATGGTGATTTGCAGGAGGAGGTGTACATTCTCCTGCTCATTCTGGTATGGTATGTCGTCTTCGTCGTTCTCTATATGGCCTCAAGCAGTCTCCTCGAGCTTGGTCTGATCGCTTTGGCACTGCTATGCTCAAGTTTGGTTTCCATCAAAGTGCAGCTGATCATACCTTGTTTTTACGTCATTCAGGCGGTAAGACAGTTGCTCTCATTGTGTATGTCGATGATATTATTCTTACCGGCGATGATACTATCGGAATTAATGAGGTTAAGAGCTATCTTGGCCGTCAGTTTGAGATCAAGGATCTTGGTCCCCTATGGTACTTCTTGGGCATTGAGGTGGCTCGCTCCAAGACTGGCATTTTCATCTCTCAACGCAAGTATGTTCTTGACTTGCTTTCTGCTTCTGGTCAGCTTGGCGCTCGTCTTGTTGATACTCCGATTGAGCAGAATCATCGGTTGGCTGATTCTGAGGGGTAGTTGTTGTCGGATATTGGTCAGTATCAACGATTTGTAGGGAAGCTCATCTATTTATCCATGACTCGACCTGACATTGCTTATGCCATGAGTGTCGTGAGTCAATTCATGCACTCTCCTCGTGCCCCACATCTTGATGCAGCTATTCGGATTCTTCGCTACTTAAAAGGGTGTCCATGTTGTGGTATTTTCTTTGCTAATCATGGTCACTTACGTGTTGAGGCTTGGACAGATGCTGATTATGCAGGATCAATTTCAGATAGGAGGTCTACTTCAGGTTATACCACTATTGGTGGTAACTTGGTTACTTGGCACAGTAAGAAGCAGGATGTTGTCTCTCGATCTAGTGCAGAGGTAGAGTATAGGTAGAGTATAAGGCTATGGCTCTTGGGGTAGGTGAGTTGCTTTGGCTGAAAACCTTGATGACAGACTTGTGCCTTCCAGTGTTGCTTCCATTCTCACTCTACTGCGACAACAAGTCCGCCATTAGCATAGCAGCAAATCCCGTTCAACATGATAGGACTAAGCATATAGAGGTGGACCTTCACTTCATTCGTGAGAAGATCATCTCTGGTCAAATTTGCACTCCATTTGTCACAAGCTCTCAGCAGCTTGTAGACATTCTTACAAAGGGCGTCAGTAAGATTGTGTTTGAGAATGCATTGTCCAAGTTGGGCGTTTCAGATATCCACGCACCAACTTGAGGGGGAGTGTTAGCATTTATGATACCACGATTTATGGTATGACTTACTATAATAGCAGAGATTTGACTATGCTATAGAATATGCCATAGAATATGCTTTAGAATAAGTTGTAATTTGATTTTGATTTGATTTAGGTTCCTTTCTTGTAATATGAGCATGTGCTCATTTTATCTATAAATACTAGAGCTGTGAATAAGTAATTCATCTCATTCAAGCCTTTACGCAATTCTCTCTTTTCTCTTCTTTTTATATTTCTACTGTTAGGGATAGTGAAATAGCTTCAGTAACAGGTAAAGTTTGTGGACGGACTTTGTTTAACCATCTGCATGGAAACCTTGTCGTTGTGCTTCATTGTTTTCAAATTATGTGATGTACTCATAATGTTTATTTATTTGATGATGTTTTGGGAAGCTCAAATTTTTTCTTGTAACTTTGCTAGCAGTTGTGCATCTTTGCATACCTTGGTTGAACTGAATCAAAATGTCATATTGTACTGTGACATCTTGTGTACCTTTTAGTTTATAGGTACTGAAATTCTATTACTTCTGCAGAAAGGTTAGGCTGTTATCTTATAACTTTTCTTTTGTTTGTAGAGTGATCCCATGGCAGTTATTTATGCTAAAGGAAGAGATGGTGCACTTCAAGAGCTTGGCCGTACTGAAGTTGTGTTAAATTCGTTGAATCCCAAGTGGATCACAAAGCAAACTGTTACCTATTATTTTGAGGTGGTGCAGACCTTGGTGTAAGTTTTGATATATTATTTCTCTCTACATTTTGTATGTGAATACTTAATTTGTCAGTTTGATGTACCTTGGGAAGTTACTTTTTGTTACAGGTTTCATGTGTATGATGTTGACACTCAGTTTCACAATGTTGATGTAAAGGTATACTTATATGATGCTGTAATCTGAGAAATTTTACCATGGTGGATGAAACTTTCTGAATTTTATTTACTTATTTGTATTATTGAAGTGGTACATAAGTTAATCAGCAATTGTTGGATCTTTTAGTAATATAATTTAAATATCATATGATATTTTTCTCATAAATACAAATAGTTTTCTTTTCCAATTAACATCTGGGGAAGTGTTGGTGAAAATGTCAAAAGTAGGTAGCGTTAAATGGACAAAAGTTTTAGAGAGAATGGAAACACTCTAAATCTTAAACTAATGTAGACTTTACATGAACTCAAGCTTGTATGAGTTTGAGATTGTCCGATCACCAGTTATTACGTTATTGTGTTTGTTTAAGAAGCACAGACACTTCTAAGAGGTGTCGTGTCCGTCTCGGACTCTGACACTTCATGGACACTCCTGGACACGTCTTCGACACGTCTTCGACACTTCATGACTGTGTCCATAATTTAAAGATTATTTTTATTGTTTTGGACACTTGGTCGATGCCTCTTGGACACTTGGTCGGCACATCTTGGACACTTGGACGACACATGTAGGACACGTAGTTTACACATTCCGACACTTGATAACTTATCCCACACTCTGTCTTATATAAAACATGCATATAGCTGTCATAGAAACAACATTATGAACATATATCAAAGCTTCCAACCTCTTTTTCTTTAAAAATTGACATTAAGCACATGTCATAGTATGTAATATGCACAAAAACATAATTACAATGACAAGATAGAATAGTAATATCATATATATTATAATATATTCTTTTTGATATTCTTATAGCTTCACCTTCTAACTTATGTAACTTTAGTATAGAATCATAAAGGTATTAAAGTTCTATAATTGTTAATAGATAAATAAATGAAAATTTTTATTTATGTTAGTCGTGTCCATGCCGTGTCCGTGTCCTATTTTTTTAAAATTTGACATGTCAGCGTTTCTGTGTCATATCGTGTCCGTGTCCATGCTTCATAGGTGTTTGTTACTGGAAATGGAAGGAAGTACGGAGTGAGAAAAAATCCATTGTTAATATATCCTTATAATATACAATGAAATTGTAGTTTAATTGATATTTTAATATTTAAAGAACTTGTAAGTCCTTACTAGTAATCTTTGTCCACAACTAATGTTCAAGCGAATTGGAAATATGAAATAATTATTTATACTTAGTACAGATGTTTGTGGTGGTTTTCTTGCACATGACTGAATTTTCTTAATACAGATTTTTTGCATTTTACCCTTAATGTTTGTGGGAGGGGTTGTTCCAATGGCAAAGTTCAGGTTGACAATTATGAAGACGAGGGTTCTAGCCTTAGAGCAGCCACTTTGTGGAAAATAATGTCAAAGGTTACGTCTAAGACAGTCTTTCCCTCTCAGTTCTTCACGTAGATGCGATAGTATTAACTGCCTTTTCATCTCAAAATATAGCTAACTTAATCTTTGAGTGAATATGTTCTTTTCACATACTAATTAGACAGTCTTTCCCTCTCAGTTCCTCACGTGGACGCGATAGTATTAATTGCCTTTTCATCTCAAAATATAGCTAACTTAATCTTTGAGTGAATATGTTCTTTTTACATACTAATTAGAACACTACCAGACCATGATCAAAATTTCCTAAAACAACTCTCTGGAAATTTCAATTATAAAACTAAGAAATAAGACATGCATAATCTTAAACCTAGATTGATCACTATGCTTTAATAAGCTGCAATCATGCAAAGAACTATACTTAATCCTACATCATAAAGTCTTCAAATACCAGAAGCAAATTAACATGCAAAACATCTTAAACTTGATTCTAACCGTGGAAAGGATAAAATCACGTTGAACAATGTGCAAAACTAAACTAGCCTACACCTATTGTCCTAAAAATGCCACTAGTGAATTCAAACCATATTAACCTATTAAATAAAATAAAGCACGTGGAAAAATTTCTAATGCCCAATAAGGCTCAAAGCAACAAAAACCAAGCATCAGAATCCCTTGATAACATAAAATCAAATTAAGACAAAACTAATTAAAGTAGAGATTTTATTGTTTCTCCATATCTCTAGGTGGAAAATTTTAAAAATTGAAAAAATAGTATTTTGTGAGGATTCGAACTTAGTGTTGGAATATTTTGTAACAAAATCCGGAGTTTGTAACTTGTCCTCTATTTTCATTAGTTAGTTAGTGGTGGTACCTATGTCCAAGGGTAGAATTAGAATTTCAAGATACGTTAAAGCGCAAAAAGGTAAAATCGTCTCTTGAATGGTTCATAGTCATGTATATTCTTATCATGACTCATTTAGGGCATAATGCATGCACGTTTTGATTCATGAAAAAATTATTATGCATGCATGGAGTTGTTTTTTGAATAAATATATTCAAACAGGATTTCTTTTCACTAAAATAGAATGTCTCGAGTGATATATTGAGTTGTTGAAACTTGAAAGTTTCAAAAAAAAAAAAAAAAAAATGAAATGGGAAATAGCTCAATCAAATGCTGATCGATCGAGCCTGGACGACAGCTATCAATAGATCGTTGCGTGAATAGCTTTTTTGAAACTTCTCTAAATCAGAATTCTAAAAGGTTTATTTTATTATTACAACTAAGAAACTAATCTCTTTGTACTCAAAGCACTATATATGAACACCTCTAAGCTCTCATAACACACACACAGATGCAAAGATCTCTATACATTACTGACAGTGCACATAAGAGAGAGATCATATATTTTAGAGAGCAGAATTTTTTTTTTTGTAATCTAGTATCTTGCACTAGATGTTGATTTATTATTCAGTGTGTTTATCATCAACTTGTGGAGCTTAAATTGTCATCAACACCAGCTCACATAAATATATGACAACTAGATGTCACTATTCATTGGAGATCAGAAGTCGATAGAGAAGTAGATTACCTGAGAAGTGAGTTTATGGATCTATGGCTGGAGGATCTGGGTTTGATGTTGTGTAAGTCTGAGTTGGGAGGGGCTAGGTGCTTTTTGGGTTAGCGTCTGGTAACTTAGACTGTAAATAATGGATTTTGATGTGCCTGGACTAAGTTCTGTGGTTATTATTATTATTATTATTGGGGATTTTACCCGTAAAATCACGTGTTCATTTGTGTTTTTTTGGTTTATTTATTTTTGTATTCTATATTTAACTAATTCATATTGCTATGTTTGAAATATAATTGTGACAATTTAAAAATCAATTATTTTTATTTAGATTTGGACAAGATCTATTCACTCCCCTATAGATATATTTTGGGCCTTGCGCAAACTCTCATGTAAGAGACTTGAGTTATATTAGTCAAGATAGGGGTTTTACTTTTTCAAAGTAAAACCCTAAATAATGCACAGAGGGAATTTTCAAGAATTATATGGATGAAAACAAGCTAAATCTTGATGTTGACCCATCTAGATTAACCAAAGGATCACAAAGTTTATAACTGTTCAAATTATATAAAGGCCAAAGAGACTTATTTTGGTAAATAGAAAACTGAATCACCAAAATGTACAAGGAACGTGGCTTAGATTACTTGAAGATTTAGGTCATATCAAAATGTTAAATACTGGCGCACAAACATGTAAGATAATAAAACAAATAAAAAGTTGATGTTTGATCCGCTTACTCCAAGGTGTCAGAATTCAGGTCCTAAGTTGGATTGTGGTGCAAGGATTGTCCGTCGGGTCAGGTCAATGATCTTAAGATCCTATAAGATGAGAGGGAAAAAAATATAAAATATATGTAATCAAGAAGTCTGAAACGAGACAGTGAATAAACCTAAAACAATAAAAAGAAATATAGAAATATTATTTCAAAAGATGGAACATGTATGTGTTCACGGATTAACAAAATAATTGAGAAAATTTCTTAACATGTAGAGCCCTCACACCAATATTGCAATATACCATTTGTAAATTGTGCATTGGAAATTGAAAGAATAAGAAGAAGAAGAAAAGAAGAGAAAAAGAGAAAAGAAGAATTCCACAAATTTGTAGATACTATTCTTGAAGATGACATTGTTTATTTATTTTTTGATAAGTAAAAATTTATTAGAAGATGACATTGTTTATGAAGAAAGAAAAGAAATAGATAAACCGGGCACTCTTCATGATGAAGAGATAACAAGGACGCTGTTCACAAAGAGAGAAACATGTCACTCTCAATGAAGAAGAGATCAATATGAGAACCAGAATACTGTTCACGGAGATAGAAAACTAAAGGAAATAGGTGAGAAAGAAGACACATAGAAACACTGAAATACATGACACTGTTCATGAAGAAAGAAGGGAGAAACAGACTAAGAAAGAAGAACAAAAGAAAAAGAAGAAAAGAAGTTGATGTATTTATCAACAATTTTATATAAACAAAAATAGAAAAAGAAAGGAAATTTCTAAACATAGAAAATTAATCAAAGTCATATTAATCACAAATTGTAGTGTATATTTTTTTTATCAGTTGAGGATTTGAATCACTTTTTTGTTGCACCATTTCAGCCATTGTTAGCTACTTCTGTCACTTGTCCATACTTCGAACTTGTTGCTAGTTTCACGTTATATGCGAGTGAAGCCTAATTTATAGATTTTGGGAAATATTTGGTTATAGGTTTAGGGTCTTACAATATTTTCAGCTAGAGAACTATATGTTGGGTGATGGGCTTTGGATTTTGTTAAGTTCTAGACTGTAGGCTAAAATAGAATAACAAAACCGGGAAAAAAAATTTAGAAAATCCTTAGAACATGGATTTTTAGGATCATGATCCTATGATCTTGAATGATCCTTGGAATTCCACTGAAATACTCTGCATTAATATTTAGAATTTTGGACTGTAGGATTGCCTGATCGAGATTCGGTTTACAATGGCTTACTTTGAGTTTGTGACCTCTCAGAGTGATTCTAAATCCTAATTTCTCCAGAATCGATGATGACAGAAATGAGTTAACTAGTTCCCACTTTTCAGTCCTCCATGTCATACACTGATGCCTCATTGTTTGTTTCAATTTTCTGGAATGAATAGAAGCTTCCGTGTGCTGTTTTTTGCTATCATTACCTGGATTAGATATCCATAATGCAATGGCAGACTAAAGTTAAGAGCCATATAAGCCGATTAGGTTGGAGAAAGAGAAATTATGTAGAAAAAGGCAACTTGGAGGCTAAGCTAGGGTTTTTGGAGTAATTTTTCCCGAAACGCCTCTAAGTTGTGGAATTGGTATAAGGAAACCAGTTCCATCTGGCTTCCATCTGAATGATAGTAGCTACGTCGTTTAAAAATAAAATTATATGAGAAATTAGGTCTATCTCCGATATTTTCTCTCCAACAACCTGCACGAACAAGACTTATACTGGTTAATGCACTTCTGGAGTTGGAGGGTAAAAATCCAGTTGCAACGGCTGCATATTTCTTGAAGTTATCACCATGATACTTTCTAGGTGTCCTAGTGCATCGAAGTAGTAGTCGTACGGTTACTCCATCGTGGGTATTTTAATTTTCTGAGAAATATTTTCCATATTCCAACTTTTAAAATTCGTAACATGGATATCAAAACTTTGATTTTTGCAAGCCACGTATTGTTGGAAGGTTTATGACAACTTTCATTTAGAAACTGTTAGCTTTCAAAATTCGAAGTATTTTTAAAGTAATGCTCAAATTAATGCAAAGGGGTTGTTAGAATAATTCCACCCCCCTACCCCCTCTCTTAGTGTGATTGTATTAAAATCAAACCAAAAGAGATACAAGGCAACAAATGTGAGGGCATACCCTCACATTGTAACAGGGCTTTAGCAATGTGTTGTTCTGTTGAATTATTATGACTCACTTCTTTGAATCCAGTTTGCTTCTAAGTCTTTGTACTCCCATTACTGAATATGGCAGTAACCCCTGTTCCCACACAATCCATATTTGCCCCTTTACTGTAACCAGCAGAAAGTCCATTATCATCCTTAAATAGCCCAGAGGAGCGTATAAGATCTTTTGTCCCGCCTTGTTCAGTCAGACTAACTGTTGTCTGAGGAGCAGCCCTTTGAGGAGGGCTATTAGGAAGGACAAATCTCTGAATTCTTTACCTCCCCACCCCCTTTCTTATCTTCTATGGTAGTACCAGAAACAACCAGGTTCTTTTAAGGAATATCCACATCATCGCACTCCTGGATTTGAGATGTAGAAGTTCCAATATTCTCCCCATTGTCCTCCAGACACTCTTCCAGAACCTCAAAGCCGTTTACTGAGCTAGTGAGTGCTTTCATTCCCAAAGGTCTAGCTGTAGAAGCCTTCCAAGTACCAGTACTACTACCAATTCAGCCCTTTGTATTTCAACTGTTTGTCTTGTGACTATTTTCTCCAAGTATTCCTTTCTGTTTCACACCAACCTCTACCCATTTCTGAACCATATTTCCTTCCCCTTCAGTAGTAGCTGCCCCTTGTGATGTCCCAGCTCCACTATTAGAAGCAACTGATAAAGAACAACTAATGACATGGTGACCAAAAAACTTTACAATTACAAAAATGTGAGGATTTCCACTGGAATTCATCTTTGTAGGGAATTTTTCGCCAGTTTTCAAAGTTTGTTGAATTCCTTAACCCAGTCTTTCTCAGCTCACACTTTCACACACCCTGGCAAAACTGATTCCTTGTTTTCTAGGGGTTAGATAATCTATGTATAGGGGTTACCTATTGCACTAGTAGTATAAATCAAGCCCCTAGGGCTCCATTACTCCATGTGGATATTATACAACTTCACACAACAGGGACATCTAAAAATTTTCTTTATTAAGCACCATTTCTTCAAGACTATATGACGATCCAAAAAATGCCGCAGACCTTGCTGGCATTACAGAATAATGGCCGTGAGAATCCAAGAATTTGAAAAAAATACCCCTTTTTCAAGCCCTAGCACTTCCAGAAGCCCCAATTTATCCCAAAGTTTATGGGCTATTGAATTAACTGTGAAGTATGGTAATCTTTTGTCAACAAAGTAACCTACCAAGCAGTGATTCCACTCTACAACTCCATCTCTTGGAACTTGATCGGAAGCTCAACCACAATTTCATCTTCATCGGTTGTGGGAGGGAAAAATACAAGGCTTAGTTGTTTTGGGGATTTATCTGTTGAAACTACTTGAACCCAACTTCTTTGGACCGAACCATGACCCGTTTCCATACATGGCTTAGACCATTAATAATCGGCGATTTATCAGAGTTGAATTAGTTAGATTGGTTGTTAGAGCCGACACGTGTCGGGGGAATTGATCTGTAACTGATTCACGTGGCCCCAAGTAACTAACTAGTTTTGACTCCGTAAGCGCTGCCACACTCTCTTGTTCCTTGTTGAGTTTGTGGCCACCATATCCTGATACTGGCCTACCAATATGACCACCGTCAACACCACCTTCTCCTCTACAACCACCATCACCACCACTGCCTATCTGATCACAACTACCCATCATAGACTGATAGCCTTAACCATGACTGCCAATTTCTTCATTTCGACAATCAAATCCATGGCTGCCAATACAAATACCACCACCACAACCGCCATGTGCAGTCTCAAAACCACGACCACCATTTTTATGGCTACCTTGACAACTGTCAAATCTGTGTCCCCCTATATTGATTCTTTCGGAAAGCATTGAGGTGTTCCTCCATATATTGTTTCCTTTGGAAAGCATAGAGGTGTTCCTCCATTTCCTCAATTTTCAGCTTCAGCATGTCTGTCTTGAGATTTTAGTGAACTTGCCATCCAGCTCAGGATCTTTTATTGGACATGTAGCCGTTTCAGCTCCAGCAATTTCTTCTGTTTCAGCCTCAACAACCTCCTCTACTGTTTCCACGTTAACACTGCAAAAACTGACAACGTAGAACAGAATATTATGCACTGTGTGAAGAAGCCTCCACTTGAATCACTGTGTGAAGAACTCATGAACCTGCAGAAAACAAAGACAACATAGAACAGAATAATATGCACTGTGTGAAGAAGCCTCCACTCGAACCAATCACAACCAAATCACGTTAGGGGTGTCAACCCATTCCCATCATATTCCGGCAGGGTTGATCCTGGTAATCTGAAGGGAATCAAATGAGTGAAACCCTAGAGAGAGAGTTTGGAGAGAAGCTTTCAAATCCATGTTTTATTTTCTTTCTATTTTAAGTGGAGGTATTTGTACACATACAAAAAATCATTTTTGATAAATCACTCACACATTTGGTACTTATCTGATTGAATTTTACAATATACTGTTAGAAAGCTCTTATTATTTACTTTCTAGCTATATATGAGGTATTTGCTAAATGTCTCAAAAATGGTTTGAGAATTATAGTGAAAATTCAGGGCATCTTGGGGGTACTTTTAGTTTCATACGAACTTGGTCAAACTAGGAAAATTATGAATTTAAGGGTTTTTAAGTCTTTACTAAGGAATCTAAGAGAATTTCATTGGTACAGAAGATGTGTCTAGATTAACTGGTAGAACTGAAACCAAATGAGTTGTCGAATCATCCGTCATCCAATCATGAAGGTAAGGGCCTAAGTCTTACAACTGGAACAAAATGTGATGACTGCACACAAATGTTCCTAGAGATTTGGTTGATAGCAGCTCCAGACTCGTTGTATCTTTTATGTTTGATTAAACCATCAATTTAAAAGAAAAAAAAGAAAAAAACTATCACATCTTGCACAAATGTTGAGGCATTACGACAATTCTTGTCATGCTTTGAGCTTTTATGCATACCAGTTATATCTTTCTCATCAAATGTTTGTGCATCTACATATGATCTGGATACACTGTGAATCGTTTGCATGCAAGCTAAAGTGTTTGATGATATATGGATTATGGATGTATTTTACTTATACAGATGCTTAAGCTGGACGAGCAGCAATTTCTTGGCGAGGCTACTTGTGCATTGTCCGAGGTATTGAATACCTACCACTCTGACTTATGATTCATTTACTGAATGATAACATTCTCCATGGTATCCTACAAAAAGAAAGGGAGAGGAGGGAGGGGGATTTTAAATCAGTTACACTGCACTGTTCTGGCACTTAATTTATCCATGTTCATGTTACAGACCCGTTTCGTATTTTATTTGTGACCTTATATATCCTAATGTACTTCATTTCGTGTGCTAATGATCTACTCATACAATCAATCGACTTGTATGTTAAAATTTGGCCTTTGAAAATTATGGGCCAAGACCAACTGGGCTATCAGATCTTATAGTTTATATACATACATACATACATATATATATATATATATTAATCCAATGCTGTATCTGGGTAGCCTATATTGTAAGCATGATTTGCCATAAAAAATAGACATCACAGGTTTTTCTGGTGTGACCTCTGGCTGTCATGTTTTATTTGTTTGGTTTGCATGTTCAATCCTTCTCATTTCCATTTGCATGGCTAGAGCTGACAGTATATTCTCTGGCTTTCATAATCCAGTTATAGTCATTATTGATGAAAAATAGTCAAATATAATATATAAGGCCTTCACCTTAACTGTGGGATCAAGCTTATTCTATAGAATTTTAGAAATCTTAATTTTTTTTACCCTCATAATCCCCATATCTTTCTGTGTAGATTCTCACAAAATCCATTAGGTCATTGTCCTTGCCTCTTGTACATAGAGAGGAATCTATAAGAGCAACCCATTCCAGAAATTACGGTGAGCTCACTGTTCATGCCGAAGAGTGTGTTAGCTCAAAGACTACAACAGAGTTGATTTTGAGGTGTTCAGAATTGGAATATAAGGATCTGTTCTCAAGAACTGTATGGAACTGCTGTGTTCTTTTTGTTTTTGTTTTTGTTTTTCTTTCTTTCACTCCCCCCTTTTTTGCGACTATCTGATGGATGCCAATTATGTATATTTTACTTCTTGCAGGACCCCTTTTTGGTAATATCAAAAATTGTGGAGAGTGGACCCCCTATTCCAATTTGCAAAACAGAAGTTTTAAGAAGTGATCTTAATCCAAAGTGGAAACCAGTTTTTTTGAATATTCAGCAAGTTGGAAGCAAGGTAGAACCATGTTTTTTTCTTGAAGGCTATAATATGAATTTACTAGAAGAACTTTGCTTTTCTCTGGTGTAGACATCCCTCATTTTTTGTTATCTTAGGTATGTGTTGATTTTTATATCTGTGAATGACCAAACTTTAGTTACTTATCTGTGCTCGATAGCCTATTTACCCTAATGGGATGGTGCTGCTTGATTAGTATTTGCTACTAATACTGTCTAGGAAGTTATTCCTTGCACGCAAATTATTTTCTCCGAAATCAGAGGGCATTGAAGTTTGAAGTGTTGAGTTTGTGCATCTCAGAGCTTTGACAGTTGACAACTGTCATCTGCTCTACATGTGCAGATTAAATTATTGAACATGGATGGGATACTTTCTTGTAACTTGCCGATCTACCTCATTGCCTATAGATAGCTGATACGTTGATTGTTAATTTTTTTATTTATTTTAAATTATGCAGGACAATCCACTAATTATAGAATGCTTTAACTTCAGTAGCAATGGGAAACATGATTTGATTGGGTAAGTGAAGACCATTTTTTCTTGTCTTCCTCTTTTCCTAATATTTTGACTGGAATGCTGATTTGTGTAACAAGGCGTTCTTGATCATTCAGAAAAGTTCAGAAATCACTAGCAGACTTGGAAAAGCTTCGTTCTATTCCGCAAGGGGAACATTTATTTTTACCAACTGTTGTTGGGCATGATCATCACAACAAGGTCCAGACCATGTGAACCAGGTGGTTTTTTGTCACCATTAATTTTTTAGTCTTTGCTTTCAACATCTTCTGTAATTTCGACACAGGTTTTAAAGACTCAGCTATTTGTAGACAAGTTTTCTGAGTGTGTCCAACATACTTTCCTGGATTACATAGCTAATGGATGTGAAATGAGCTTCATGGTGGCCATTGATTTCACAGGTACTCATGTACGCTTTTCTGCCACTTAAATATGTGTGTGCGTGTGTGCGTGCTTGCTTTGTATCAGTTAATTTTTGTTACCAAAGCTGAACGATCTTCACCGGTCATAATTTGTCTGTAATAGGTACAGAATATTTGGGGCTAGCAATGCTTGGTAAAAACCAAATTTTGGCATAATTAAGTCAGTTTGTCGGGTGGATTCATATTTCCCTAAAATTGACTTTTGCTCAGAGCAATGCTAAATATTTCTTATTCTGGATTGATAAGTCAGGTTGTCGGGTATAAGATTAATCAACTTTTGATTGCACTGACTTATGTTACTACACCTTAAAACTTCACTTTTAACTTATCTTGGCAAGCCTTCAACTATTTTGGTTGATTATGTGAACTATTTTGGTATGCCACTCTTTCTATGGCCTCATTTTGGTTATACCAAAAGCTGTCTTCACCTTTTTTTTTTTCCTCATTCTTTATTTGTGCAACAGTCTTGATTACACGTAGCCAAGGATCTCAACTGACTTTATCTCATTTTCTTCCTTCAATTGCTCACAATCATCCACTTCTATATTCACTTACTATTTTTGTTTTCCCTAGTGATCACTTCTATATTCACTTACTCTTTTTGTTTTCCCTAGTGATGCTCATCCTATCAACTGTTTCTTACTTGATTTTCCAAACACTGCCAGGGCCTTATTGTCATCTTATAAAGTTTTCCTTCGATTTTTGTGGGACTATATGGATTGAACATCTACTTAAAGGCTTTATGCAATTCATTCTATTTAGGCGACTTCTTCTTCAGCTTCACCATCCTTGATGTTTGATCCAAGTAATAGAAACAGTTACTTTTTAGTATGACATGGTCGCATGTATTTTATTTTATTTTTCCTTCTATTCTATCAATCTTCTGCCATTTAATGAAATCCACTTAGAAACACTGAATATTTGGTATTTGGATCAGGAATATTTACTTACTAATTTTAAATCTTTGTTTTCCAGCTTCAAATGGAAATCCACGCCTGCCTGATTCCTTGCATTATATAGACCCGTCAGGTCGGCCAAATGCGTATCAGAGAGTGAGAAGCTGGTCTCTTCCATGAATTTCTTGTTAATTCTTAAACATTAAACAACCCATATAACAGTAATCCATTAATTTCAGGCAATCTTAGAGATTGGAGAGGTGTTGCAGTTTTATGATACAGACAAGCGCTTTCCTGCTTGGGGTTTTGGAGCACGACCAATTGATGGTCCAGTCTCTCATTGTTTTAACTTGAATGGTAGCAGTAATTGCTGTGAGGTGGAATTTTCACACATGTTCTTTTCACTAAATTTAAGTTAATCTTAGCTAGCTTTCATCAGTGTACCTTCTGTGTGCCTATTTCTATCAACAATAATCTGTTGCATTAAATGATTTTTTTATTTATTTCCTACCAGGTTGAAGGAATCCCAGGAATTATGATGGCATATACAAGTGCTCTCTTTAATGTGTCACTTGCAGGGCCAACCCTTTTTGGACCTGTAATTAATGCTGCTGCACTGATAGCCAGTCAGTCTCTTGCTACGGATCAGCAGAAGTACTTTGTTTTGTTAATAATCACAGTAAGAATCCGTTCGAGGATGTGGTACTAGTCGTCCTTCTTATTATCTGAAATGTCCGTGTATAGACATTCTTGTGGTTAACGTGCAAAATTCATGGTAACCATGACTATCATTTTGTATCCTTTTCCCCTCAAAGAGGTCGTTGTTCTTAGAAGATGTCTAAATGCTGCCAATAAATTTGTGTTATCTTGTTCTGTTTAGGGTGTATAAATCATTAATTGTCCCTGTGGTTTTCTTATGTTCTTTGCATCTCATTTTATTTAAACTTCCACAGGATGGGGTAATAACCGATCTTCAAGAAACAAAAGATGCCCTTGTGAAGGCGTCCGACCTGCCATTGTCAATCCTTATTGTTGGGGTTGGAGGAGCTGACTTTAAGGAGATGGAGGTATATATGTCACTTCCGTGCCCCTTTCTTGAAAAGTGTCTTGAGTGGGGGAGTACTTCCAGCGTGAGCTTTTTCCGGTGGAGGCCTGATTTGCTTGCAATTTTGATTATTATTCTGCAGGTTTTAGACGCAGACAAAGGAGACAGGCTTGAAAGTTCAAGTGGACGTGTTGCATCACGTGATATAGTCCAATTTGTTCCGTTTCGCGATGTACAGAGTAGGTGGCTTTCTCATTAATCTGACAAATCAACTCTTTAATGGAAGCATTTTGCAATAAATTCTGATTCGGCAACAACTTGCCTTCGATTTGCAGGTGGTGAGATCTCTATTGTTCACTCGCTTCTAGCAGAATTACCTACCCAATTTTTAACGTACATGCGAACCAGAGATATTCAACCAAAAAGGCCATTGTAGACATTGTACATAGTTGACAATTTATTCTGTTATTGGCGCCCATGCTAACCGAGTTCAACATAGTTCCAGCAAGGGCTTTGTTGAGATTGGTTGAGCTGAGTTGTTCCGAATGAGGTTGATTTTGTTGGGTCCATGGTGCCAGTGCTGCTCAAGGATTCTCCATTTCTAGTGAGGCATCCTTCATCTCACTAGGAAGGGTAACATTACATTTGTTTATAACAGTTGAGGAAAAATCATTTATGCATCAAAGCTACACAGATCGATCCTTGTTCACAAACTTGAGAATGGTGATAAAAGAGATCAAAGTCAAAGAAAGGTGAGGAGGGTGTGACTATTATAGTTGTTTTTGGTCAATGGGTTAGAGATTTTGGCAATGCTAATTAACTGGGTTCGCTCTCTCTCTCTCTCATAATGATAATCTCTAACCCATTGACAAGAAACAACTATAATAATGAGACCCTTTATTATTATTATTATTTTTTAAAAATTGGTTAACTAAAACTATATTGAATGAAAGAAATATTATACAATTTTAAGAGATAATACTTGGTGATCTAATTGATAGATGGAGTACTCAGCTCGCTGTGCGGGTTTGTTGGTGTTCAAGACCCCTTCTCCCCAATTATTTGATCTGAGACCTGACCCAGTAGCGTGGATGGGAGAGGGACAAAGAGACGAGCACATCAAGGAGAGATCAAGCCAACGATGCTAGAGTTTGAAATTAGGAAAACTATAATGGCTAGAAAATCAAAGAGTGACGTAATTAAGGCTATAGTTATAAAGTTCGGAATGGAAGAAAAGTAATTTATAAAATTGAATTAAAATTTTTTTCAATCTTATTTTTAAAGTTTCAATTTCTTTCAATCGAACGCAGCGTAAACAGAAAGTTCTGACTAATCCAATGGTTCAAGAAGACATCAAGACTTGGGCTTGGGTTGAAGACCAAGACAAAAAGGGTCACTTGAGTGTCTAACAGCCAGAAAAACGAAAAAAAAAGAAAAGAAAAGAAAAAAAGCAAGGTTAAGTCACTAGGTCACATATGACGCATCACTAACTTGTGTATTTGCCCAACAATTCTTTAGAATTAGGCTGCTTCAACTTTTAAGCATAAACATAGACCTCATCTAATCTTGGTTAGTATACGCTTGACAGCGTTAAGCTTATACGCCATAACATTATTCTTGTTAGTGTTAGCATTCATCTTAGTCAAACTAGAAAGATTATAAAATAAGATGCAAAAAAAAATAAAAAAAAAAAAAAAAAAAACTCAAGTTATTAAAAAATAAAAAATAAAACACTAAATTGTTGAAAAAGAAAGAACGACCTCATGCAATTCAATGATTTGTCTAGGTAAATAAATATGAATAATATATCTTAACAATTCCTTGAAAATAAGGTGAGTTATATGAAATCAATTTGAATTTGAAGAGGAGAACATGAAAAATTGGTATGGTGGAAGAGATTTGGTGAATATAACACCAATATGAACATGTCAGATTTTTGGCTGATGTAGATCGTTGATGTGGCAACAGGTTAGGCTGACTTAGATTGATGTGGTGATCGGTTAAGTTGATGTGGCATCCCTGAAGGCAACGACGATGTACTGAGAGTGCTTTTCCCAGTGAATGATGGTACGATGCTAGAGGTGATGGAAAGCTATTTTCAGTTGCCAGGCGAAAATAGTTTTTAGTATTGCTTCTAACTTATATGTTGAAGCACATAAAATTCAATTATTTATTATAAATTATCTTCAGTTAGTATGAACCATCAACCTAATATAAATTAACCTAAAGGTGTAGCATGATCTATCTTCCTTAAGTATAATTTATACATATTCTTAATTAACATATCATTAAAACCATTGTATAATCTCATTTTCATTCTCACTATAAAGATGTCAATAGCATAATCATGAAGAAATAATTTCTAAGACAAGATAAGAGTCTCAACAAGATTATATATAGAATGAAGCACAAATACATTAAAGTGTAATATCTAGATTATACAACTTGTCACAAATATGCAAAATTCCCCAAATTTAGATATAATCAAGACATAATTACTTGGCAAGGGTTCCATCAACTCCCTTGAAAGGGAATTAACCTCTCATGTGCAAGGTGTAAGCCTCCATTGATGATGAAGACTCCATCTCCACGAGCTCAGAATTCTGCCCTATTCTTCTTCCTCCCCCTTTCTCAATATTTCTCTCTCTATCTTTTACCAAGTCAAAACTTAGCTATAGATAATGATGGGTGATTGATGTATAAATTGAAAATTCCTTCTAAAGAGATCATATTTCATAGCCTTTCAAATCCTAAAAGAGTTGGAGACATCCCTAAAATTAAGGAAATAAACTTTGACTAAATCAAAGTGTTACAGCTCAGCATTTTGGCAGAATTAACATGTTATTCTTCTATATTTTGACCTATCAATTGTCCAAATTAGACTTTCCTCTCAACATATAAAATATAGTGCTATGAGTCAAATTTCCAAATCATTAAACCATTGAGCAATTGGATTTATAACCAGAGAGATATGGTTAAAATACTACAGGAGTGCAAAGTTGAGTTCTGCCACCTGGCAGCATGTTGGTGTCCTCTTGCTCTCTATTTTTGACATCTGAAATATGTGAATTAGACTTCCATTAAAACACACCACACATAGAGCTCTGAGTTCTTTTTCCACAGAATCAAACAGTTCATCATTTGGAGTTCAGAGTAGAGAGTTGTGGCCTTTTTACCAAAGGTGCGTAGAGTTGATAACATGTGCTCAGTGAAACAAGGCCCCGCGTCGGGACGCAAGAACTCGCGTCGGGACACCAAAATGGCTAGAGGCTGGAATTTTATAATTGCCAAACGGAGGCTGGGATGAGCCCGAAAAATTGTGTAATTACAAACTTAAGCTCCATAAGGCCTTAGACACCCAGAATGACCATCGGAACAAAATTTGGAGTCTCCCGTGAAAGCACTATTTTTATGGTCCAAAATTAATGGTCTTTATTGCATTTTATTACATTTTGAGGCTAAGCACCTGAAAATAAGAAAAACACAAAAACGCATATAAGGTATATAACATCAATACAAAAATAGACTAAGATATGCAGTTTAGGGCGCTTGAATATGAAATATTCGGCGCTTATCACACCCCCAAACTTACATTTTGCTAATCCCTTAGCAAAACAAAATGGAACACACAATGAAATATCAAATTTCTTCTCTTTCGTGGGAGTGACGATTGCATTTAGCATATGCAATAAGCCTTTTAAACCCTTAGGTATCCCTAAAAGATGAGTGAAGTCTCGTGAGGGTTTACTAGAAATGATACCCATAAACATTAAGCAACAATGCTCATTCTAGTATAGATTGAAATATATGACTTTGGGGAAAAACTCTATCCTGAATACTACAACAAGTATGCATACAATGACATCTCAAAACAATATTCAACTCCCAGCATTCATACATCAACAAACTAGTCCACATATATGATCTTCAACATCTCATTTATAATAGAATTTCATCTCAAGTCCTTAGAAGTGAATCGGAATTTAATTTTCTCTTTATAATGCACTTTTAACCCTTTTATGGCTCATACAATGTCTTCCATATCCTTAATTTATCTTTTGAAATCATAATCCAAGGCATGAATTTATTTGAATACATTTTGTGTTTTTTTTATATGCATAACCATGTGCAATGTCTAAGTTTCTTAAGCTCACTAATCACCCCATGTAACAAGCGTTGAGCCTACGACTCCCAAACCAGATGATCTTAGGGCGTTAAGTGTAAAGACACTCCTAAGGGCATAATAACTCGGAATGGTTAGGTTACAAACTCAACTAATCATGCATCTTACATTCTTTCATTGTCTTCCTTTTTAGTCAGTTGACATATTGAAAGAATGCAGGTTTTTTTTTTTTTTTTCAATGCCAAGGATTATTTCATTTATCTGACTTATTAATTCAGGGAGCCAATTAAGTAAAACCACAAGGAAGGGAATGCAATTTCCGGTGTGCTCAATGTGCATTGTGAAGTCACTTAGAGATGAAAAACTCCAAAATAAAATATTTAAATCATGTAATGGGCCTTTTTCATTTGAACACTCATGCTAGCAACTTTCATTCATGATATCATATATAAGCATACAAATTGTATTAATCACATAAATTCTCCCCCAAACTTAGTTCTAACAAACTAGAAATCATTTGCCTAAACATACAAATTATTTATTTATTTATTTTTTAATAAACATATCTGACAATGACAATATACATATAAATAGTTAACTCTTAACACTCCCAAACTTAAATGATACATTGTCCCTAATGTATGAAAACAAGTATAGAAACTCAGTATGCATAGAAGTGTAAAAAGAGAGAAACTATCGAGTGCGAAACAGTGACTTCATTGCATCCAATCGCATTCAAAATGCCAAAGTTCTTCCCTCAAACTTGTACTTGATAATCTATCTATATAAACTAAGTACCAAGTATAAAAGCATAGACATAGATAAGGATATAAATCTGAAAGAACATGTCATGCTTTATTAAAACCGGGAAAGAAATCAAAATCTGTGCACATCAAAAAGTGTAACCACAATTGTCATGCCAAACATGGCCTAAAACATTGAATTATTCAAAACACAGGGAAGGTAGGGAAAGGAGGTACGAGGCGTAGAAAGAAAAGATGGAATAAAGGAAATAAAGAAAATAGAGAAAGGGAGTAAGTTATATAAAAAATTCATGGGCTCGGATTATCTACTGGGCTTTGGCGTCCGGACGCAAAGGCTGGCGTTCGGACACGAGATGCTAAATAGGGCGCGCGGGTTCATTCATGCGTGCAGCTAGTGGGGCGAATGAAGATGGCATTCGGACGCAAGTAATGGCGTTTGGACGCGGGAGTGCCCAGGTGTTGGCGTCCGGACGTGAGTAGTGGCGTTTGGACGCGGGAGGATTCAGGAATGTGCATTTGGACGCAAGGATTGGCGTTCGGATGCGAATTTGCCCAGGTATGTTCTTGAGATGAGCCCGAAAATTCTCGACGATGTTACCGAAACCATAATATGACTATAGAAACCCACGATGACCACTGAAATGGAAATCTAGATGATTCCAAGTGGAGTCTCTACTTAGTCATTTTCAAAAAAAAAATGGTTTATGGTAACAAAGATATAAGGAAGCTTGGAATAGAAAGAATTGCTTCCTTGGAGTGCTAAATTTAACATCGATAGCTAGATAATATGGGAATCTCAAAATAAGGTTTACCCTATACCATGTCTCTCTAGAGAGTCATGCTTCCCAAAATAAAAAAGTTCCTTTACAAGTGGAGAAAGTAGAGCTTGAAGATTAAAAATGAGACGAGGTAAAGGAAAGACCTCAATCCACTCTTCTTCCTTATTTAAGAACTTTGGGTTATGGAGTTGATTTGGATTATGGGAAGGTGGATCAAGTGAGGGCACATTAAGCAAAGACTTGTGAAGGATCATATTTAGCGCGGGAATTTCTGGAAAAATATCCTTTAAACTTTCAACATCCTTCTCACACTTATCCGGTGGTTCGGGCTCAACATTTTGAGGTAACTCAAGTGAGGGAATGGGAGGCGATGCAA